AAATTTTCAAAGTGTCGGAAACAAATTTTTCTCTATATAGAAAGATGTTATATGAGATCCTGATCAATTGTCCGGATGTATGTATGTGTGTGGATCCCTTTTTTGTTTAGAAGATAACTTTAACAGGTTTTAATGGATTTAGATAAAATTTGGTAGGCTCATTGATCATAACGTATTCTTTACGTAAAGACAAATCGATCAGTATATATAAAGTATAGTTTTAATTTAAATTTAAAGAATTAATGAAAGTTAAAAAATCAAAAATTCACATTTTGGCTATAAAATTTTGTGATTATTTAAATTTAAGTTTATAGATGAAATAATTGTATTCCTTACATGAAAACGAATCGATTGGTATATATAACCCTTCTAGAAAAAATCGATTGAAAACGATTGAAAATAATAGGAAAGAAATTTCTATTGTCCCCAATCGTGTTTCTTAATCGTGTTCTTACAATTGAAGACGATTGACTTTCTTATCATATTCAATAGTTTTCAATCGTTTTCAATCGTGTTCTATAGATTGTATTCCATGCACTATTGCTTGGTGGGAGTTTTTGAAAATTTTAAAAAATGCAACTAATTAAACAGTCTAGAAATATATAATTATTTCAAAGATTATTTTCCGAACTAAAAAATTAAAATATTTATCAATGTATTGGTCACCACAGAAGAAAATCATATATTTTATCAAAAATTAATTAAAAGTTATTTTTTAATTTATCTTTGAATGAAGCTGCACAAGACGAAATGTTTCTTGTTTATAATTTATCGAAAAAATGTTTAAAAAATAATTTTTGACAGATACATCAAGTATTGTTTTAAATTGAATTACTGAATTTTTTTTTAATTTCAGTCAATATTGAATTTTTTTAAATAATTGAATATTGGAAGATCTACAATAATTATAAGATTCATTAGAAATAATTAAAATTCAGGTGATTTTAAATTGAAAATTTTGAAAATATTTTAATGAATGAAAAACTTTATATACAAATGTAACGGGTTTAACATACGTTTCTAGCACGAAAAAAGTTTGTAAAGAATTTTAATTTAAAATTTTTAGAAAAAATTGATATTTCGAAGAGTTGCAATCAAAGTTTTTAATACAAATTTTTTTTTAAATTTATGATAAAATTTGCAAAAAGTATTAGTTAAAATTTTTTATAAATAAAATAATTATAGAATTTAATATAGAAGTAATTCAATTTTGGAAGACTTTGTATTGAAAGTTTTGACTTATTAATTTTAAATAATTGAAATTTTGTATTGAAAAATTTGAAAACAATTGAACTTTTTAAAGAATTTGATTACAATTTTTGAAAATATTTCATTGAAAAATTATGGTTTTTTGTTGTTGAAAAGAGTTTAGGTGAACTTTGAACAAAATTTATACTGAATAAATTTTTTGCTAAATTTTTTTGAAAAGCTGCTAGACACCTAAAGTTTAGAAAAACTAAAAATTTTGTTCTAAAAAAAATTAAAAACTGAAATTATTTTAAAATGTAAGAAATAGAATTTTTTCTTATATTTATTTTTATATGTACCTAATTATTTATTTAATTTCAGTTTATATGTATTTTTTTACGTACCCATTTATTTATTTTTATTTTTTTGAGGTTATGTATTAACAACTCAAAGATTGTCATATTTAATTTGTTCATATATAGGATAAGTAAACATATTGACATTATCCATATCATTAGAAATTTTACTTTAGATTTTAAATATTTGACACATATGCACGAACAGAACAAACTATATATTACAAAAGACTTATAAGAAAAACATCTTTCCTGTTTGATTCAACACTTTTCTTATTCTTGTAATTAACTATTTGCGCATGTGCGTATATCGTTCTCCCGATAGCACCCGATTGAAAACAATTAAAAAAGTTTAACTTATTTTACACGATTGAAAACAATTCGAATCAATTGAAAAAATATATACTCAAATTAAAAACAATTCAAAACGATTAAAAAATTTTTGTACTTAATCGTTCTGAATCGTGTTTAATTGATTTTTTCTAGAAGGGAAAAATTAAATTTGAGGTAAATTTAATAAATTAATGAAAGTTAAAAAATAGAAAATACACATTTTAGCTGAAAAATTTTATATTTATTTAAATTCAAGTTTAAATATAAAATAATTGTAATCCTTGCATTAAAACGAATCGACATAATTGTAAATAATTATAAATTATATATTATTTTTCATTAATATTTAGAAATTTCGATTAAAATATGAATTTTTGATTTTTTAACTTCCATTAATTTCTTAAATTTTACTCAAATGTATAGGTACTCTAATGTTTATATTATTATATTATTTTTTTATGTTTATTTCAATGTTAATGCTTTCTTCACGAGGAAGCAAATTATTTTGCTGATCGTAAAGAGGAAGCAAAATATTCATGTAATGAACATCTGAATTTACAACTTGTTTTATATATTTTAGATATGATGGTCCTTATAGTCCGGTTGGTGTCTGCTGAGTTTGCTCTGCTAACTTTATTGACATCATCAAAATACGTTAGTATACTAATATGTACCAAATTTCAATATAGTTATGATGTGCACTGGTTCTCTATCATTTGTTATGACTTTTATGGTTTTTTGGATTTTTCTTGAAAAATAATCACTTTTGATAAAAAAAATGTATAAGATATAAAATGTGTGGTTTTTTAAGATCTACAACTTTTATCTAAAAATTTTTTCTAAATTTTGCGTTTTTTACGAGTTAACCGCAAAAAACTATGATTTTTTTTATAGTTTTTATCATTATTTGTTCAGATGATTGAGAATTAATAAATTAAATAAATCATTAATTTTTAATTAATAAATCAATTAATTATGCAAATAATTTTGGAATAAAATTTTTGTTATTTTCATATTTTTTACATATAAAATATTTTCTTATTTAAAGCAATCAATTTGAAATGGCTTAAGAGATTCATAATGCATACATTTGTTTATATACTTATATTACATTTGTTAGAAAAATAAAATATATGATTAAACGCTGCCACATTTAGTTTCGCTATAAACATTTCTATATATTGAGAGGAAAATATATCTTCATTTTTTCTTCATTAATGAAATACTTTTTAAAACAAAAAGGTAAAAAAATTCGAAACATTCATGGAACAAAATCACTTTCGCTTTGCACGACTAAAAAGAATATGGTTTTACGTTCGTTTTCTAAACAAATCATTGTTTAATTTCACCTCTAAAATAACCGGACTTCATTTTTATTAAGAAAGAACGAGTGCGACTTTCTCTAATAAAAATAAAGAAACCAAGATGAGATCTTTTTTATAGAGAGTAAAATCCGACTACAATTTAGGATACTCTCGTTTATTACTGTCACTCATACATCAGAAATATTTATTATGTGAAATCGATTAAAAATAAAAAAGTGAAAACTATTTTTTTATTTCGTTATCTATTTCTTTTTATTAAATATATTATTTAACATATTAATCTTTATTTTATTAAAAATGTTAATGTTGATAAAATATGCTTTTAATTTCTTCATTTGTTTATATTTTTTTCAAGGAAATTTCACTATTTTTTTTAATTTATAAAAGAACTAATGGATTTCATTAGTAGACTTTTATTGCACTTCAATTTGTAAGTGAAAAAAAACTTGTACTTTATACATTGCTTCTAACCTCGGCATATTTTTATTTATTCATTTTTTAATTAAACTGCAACATTTGCAATGAAATCTTTAAGCAGGATTTATAATGAACAATGAAAATTAATAAATACAAGTAACGATGATTTTATGTATTCTTTTAAGTTGTTGCTCTGGTGATTATTGCGGATACAAAATCAAAAATGTTGAAAGTCATGACACTTTCATATGACCGTTGAAAATCCATGGTCAACAATTACATGTAAAGATGATTTTATTACTTGGTCGTTTTTAAGAAAGGTATAGGTACAGCAAAATTAACAATCACTCCCGAGTTTTTTTTACATTTACAAAATTAATCAATAAAAATAATACAAAATTTACCAATGAAAAGAAGGTTAAAATATTTAAATCACATAAAATTATGACAGTTCATTGCGAAAGTCAATATCACATCATTTACTATTTAAAACTAATCATATTCAGTGATTTTCCTGAATTTTTATTTCATCAAATTATAATATTACAGAAATTACATTTAACCGAATTTCTATATTACAGAATTTGTTACACTTAAACTATTTTTCAATTTACAGACTTTTTGTTACATGGAATTTGACAGAATTATTATTTGCTCAAATTTTCATTACAGAAAGAATATTTGAAAGCATTCTTTTCTAATCGATTTTAATTTGTTCGAATTTACATTTTACAAAATTCTTAAAACGCCGAATTTTAATTGATCCGAATAAACATCTTTCAAAAAAATTTTGGCGATAATTTTAAAATTAACTAATGAAAAATTTTCGAAAATCGTGATTTTTGGATTCCTGATGTTAAAAAAATGTAAAGATATGACAAAAAGTCAAATTTGAAAATTTTCGATATTACTCTCTAAATTTGAATCAGTGAAAAAGTCACTGGTCTCAAATCAGTCGCTAAATTCTAGCTATTTGAATCAGTAACATTTCACTGATTTTCAGTCAAAGTAATTGATTCTCCAGTGAAATGTCACTAACTGTCAGTGAAAACCACTGATTCAAATAGCTAGAATTTAGCGACTGATTTGAGACCAGTGACTTTTTCACTGATTCATATTTAGAGAGTATACATATTAAATACAATAATTTAAAATTTTGAATTTTTAAAATGTCAATAACTACTTAATTATTCTTAATAACTAAATAATAAAAAATAAATAAAAGAAATTTAAAATTAATAAACAAATAGGTAAATAAAAACTTGGTGTATTAAAAAAAGCTTCCTGTTTTTTCTTCTCAAAAATACTGGTTTAAAAAAAATTTGAAAGGTGACTGCTCAATCTCACATGAAATTTTCCATAGTCTAAAAAATGTACTCACGTAATTCTGCACAAGCCAGTCTTGTAATTGTAGCCAAGAAACTGAAATAAAACAAAAGTTTTATTTACATATAAATGAATTATTCAATCAAACCATTCAATTATTAACAAACTAATATTTATAATAAATTGTAGCTGTACGAAAAAATAAACTACATTTTGAAGTCAGTACATTTTTATAAAAATGATTTACACTCGTATTATAGTTTTTCATTAAGTAAAATAAAAATGAAGAGCAAATAAATTAGAAATAGATCTAACTGAAAAATGAATAAATTACTATGTTCTTTATAACGGGAAAAATTTAAATATGACATATTAGGAAAGATGAAGTAATTGAAGCTGAAAACCGGTATTCGCATATGGATTGAACCGCTATAAAAATACCCGTGAACTAATTAAATATTTATAAATTCTAAATCTTTTGGAAATACCAAAATTAGAAGCATAAATTTAAATTATAACAGTATAATTATTAAAATTTTAAAAAGTTAACCTCTAACGGCATTATTTGAATTGTTTTTCATAAAAAAAGTAGAAAGTTTTTTTTATAAAATTCATCTTTCCAAAAAGGTATTTTTTAATTTTTAATTATAAGATCAAAAGATAATTGATTGAACATTTAAATTCTAAAATCTTTCAATTAAAATTATAATTATAGACTCTAAAAAATGTATCTATTTATGAATTTTTTGAAAAAATGTTAGATGAAAATTTTGCTTATTCACATTATTATGTAGTGAAATTCTTTATTTAAAAAATTTTGGTTTTAAGTTTAATGAAATTTGCTTGTCGCGGATAAATACATTTCCAGTGAATTTTTTTGCAAAAAATTTTTAATTCAGATTTTGTATTAAATTACCTTCCAAATTTTATTAACATTATGAATGTTAATCTTAAACAAAATTTTAATTAATTAATTAATTAAATAAATAAATAAATAAAATTTGAAAAATTAGAAAAATAAAAAGTAAATAAAATGAAGATGAAAAGATGTTGATGATCAGAAGAATTTTGTAGTTTCATTTTAAGATTGGAAAGTTCTACATTTGCTCAGTAATTACAATTAATATTAATAAAAGGATAATCATCAATATAGTCTCCTTTTAAAATTCAATTATATTTTATTCCTGTTTCGTATTTGTATTTACTATATTCTTGTCAAAAATAAAAAGAAATTTATCTTAAAATTTAATGTTCCTAATTGTTGTTTTAAACTTTTTTTGTAAAATAGATTCTTAATGAAAAATATTATGATTGGAGCTCAAAAAAAGGATTAAAAAAAGTTGATTAAAAATCATCTTTTAACAACAATGTCATCGTCAAATGTAATTTTTAATTAATAAAAAAAAACATTATTTACAAAACCTTGTTGAAAAATTACTAATATGATTTTAAATGGTTCAATTCGGGCTGTAAAAAATATCTCTTGATATATGAATATATTTGTAAACACAAAAAAAACATTCTATTTTTCTTCAGTTAGTATCTTCGTCTATTGTCTTCGAAAATCATGCTGTCAAAAATATATTCATTTTCAATTATGAATTATACGTACGCTAGTGTTACATTGCTCAAAATTTCCACATCATTAAAATGTATTATTTTTTTAAAAGAAATTGCATACCATAAACGAATCAGCAGAACGAACATTTTTAGCACTGTTGTTCAAGTACTTGTTTCTAAGATTTAAGACATAAAAAGAAATGAATAAAGTTTGTCAAAGCTAAAATGCTCTCGATCTGTTACACCATTGCATTCGACCAGTTGTTTACCTCGCGCTACTTGTTGTTCATTGGTTTATTTCAGAGGATTGCTACATGTTAAAGCAAGTAGAATGGGAAATGCTTTCAACTTGCTACTACACTTTGCGAATCGACTTTTTCCCTATACTTATTAGAAAAAAAATTGATAGTAAAGACAGATAAAAAGTTATTACATGATTCTATTTTTAAAATTAGTGTGAAAAGTGCATCTGAAGTTTCAGAGAATGTGTAATAATAAAAGCCTATTTTCGTTTTCAAAAAAATTTCTTTAAAAAATGTAGCATTATAATAACAATAATATGCAGATATTTTTTTAAATCCTGGTTTGTTTTTATGCCATTTTTTGAATAAATGGTTAATAATTAAATTTATTACAAAATATATAAAATAAGAAAATGTTACTTCTTTTTGGTACTTCAGTTATCTTCTTTCACAGGAGAGCAATTGATCCTTAGCAGAAGAAACATCAACAGCTCATAAAAATACCCCCTGTTATTTAATACATATGTTTTTTCGAAAAAAATTCATATTGGAATATTAACTCAAAATTTCTTTTGTTAAATAAAAAAAATGGTTAAAAATATTTTCTTGAATAAAAGTTAATAATTTAAATTTTAGCTTATTTCAGTTTTTCAAAATTCAAAATGGTGGATCCTATATGGCGGATTTGACAAAAAAAACTTGTTACTCGAGGGTTTTTAGAGTCGCTAATTGCGAATCTGATTATAGTTTTTCAAAATTAAAAATGGCGTATCCAATATGGCAGATGTAAGAACATAATATAGAATAAATTGTTATTAATAATTACACAGGCACACAAAAAAAGTGGTGTGGACGAGACACTACAGTAGTATATTCCCATGTATTTTTCGCCGCTGAATCCGAATCCGAAGTCGGAATAGTCAGATTAACAGAATTAGTCAAAAATGTAAAATTGGCTCAAACATTTGAGATAAACCTTAAAAAACTGATCAAAAAAATAGTTAAAATCAAAAAAACGAAAATTTTTTTGGCCAACACACTACACTAGTGTATTTCCATGTATTTTTCCCCGCTGAATCCGAAATCGAAGTCAGAAATGTAAAATTGGCTCAAACTTTTGAGATAAACTCAAAAAACTGTTCAAAAAATTAGTTAAAATCAAAACAACGAAATTTTTTTTGGCCAACACACTAAACTAGTGAATTTCCATGTATTTTTTCCCGCTGAATCCGAATTCGAAGCCAGAAATGTAAAATTGTCTCAAACTTTTGAGATAAACTCAAAAAAATGCTGAAAAAATTAGTTAAAATCAAAACAACGAAATATTTTTTCGAAGCCAGAAATGTCAAATTGGCTCAAACTTTTAAGATAAACTCAAAAAAATGCTCAAAAAATTCGTTAAAATAAAAAAAATCGGACAAGTGCGAGTTACACTGGCACTGAAATCGAGGGTTCCGTACTCGAAGCGAACTTATTTGGTATAAAAACAAATGTTTAAAAAATATGTGTTGTATGACAACTAATATAAGTGATACGAAGAGGAACAATTTTGTAAAATTCAAGAAAATTGTTCCTCTTCGTATCACTTATATTAGTTGTCATACAACACATATTTTTTAAACATTTGTTTTTATACCAAATAAGTTCGCTTCGAGTACGGAACCCTCGATTTCAGTGCGAGTGTAACTCGCACTTGTCCGATTTTTTTTATTTTAGAGTTGTAACGACTGAAGAAATGAACTCAATCATGTTTATTAAATTATTTCTATAATCTACACATAAAAATACGTAAAAATAGAAAATTTGAAGCCCTTTAGAAAAAATTTGTTCCGTTATTGGGAGAAAATTCATGATTTTTTCTAAAATTATCAGTTTTTTCTTGACAGACCCAGAAAAATCAACTCCAATCATCCTCGCTATATTTTTTTGTAATCTACACGTAAAAATACGTCAAAATATATAAATTTGAATCACTTTAGATCAACTTTTTTGCGGAAAAATACATTTTTTTCTTAAATTTATCATTTTTCTTCAAAAATTTGATAAAAATTGATCATCAACTCCAATCGTGCTTACATTTTTTCTCTGTATTTTTCACGCAAAAATACAGTTTTACAGCAAATATGAACAATTTGAGTTGAATATTGTGTGCGCTAGGGAGAATAAATCATTTTTTTCGAAATTTTTGATTTTTTCTTGACAACGCTATGTAAATTGATTCGAATCAAGTTCGCTATATTTTTCCTGTAATTTTCACGTAAAAATACGTAAGTGTGCAAAATTTGAGCTCTTTATGTCAAAAGATGTGGCTGCTAGGGGGGGGGGTACATAGTCATTTTTAGGTATTTTTCGTAAAAATTCATGGTTTTTCCTTGACAACGCTATGATAATCAACTCCAATCATGCTCGCTATATTTTTTTTGTAATCTACAGGTAAAAATACGTTAAAATATATAAATTTAATTTCCTTTAAATAAAATTTTGTTCGTTTTTGCTGAAAAAATACATTTTTTTCCTAAAATTGTCATTTTTTCTTGAAAAACTTGATAAAAAGTTAATCATCAACTCTAATCGTGACCGCTTTTTTTCCCCTGTATTTTTCCCGTAAAAATACATTTGTATACTAAATATGAACTGTCTGTGTTGAATATTGTGTGCGCTAGGGAGAATAAATCATTTTTTTCGAAATTTTTGATTTTTCCTTGACAACGCTATGTAAATTGATCGGAATCAAGTTCGCTATATTTTTCCTGTAATTTTCACGTAAAAATACGTAAGTGTACCAAATTTGAGCTTTTTATGTCAAAAGATGTGGCCGCTAGGGGGGGGGGTACATAGTCATTTTTAGGCATTTTTCGTAAAAATTCATGGTTTTTCCTTGACAACGCTATGATAATCAATTCCAATCAAGTTTGCTATATTTTTCCTGTAATCTACACGCGAAAATACATATGTGTACTAATTTTCAGCTTTCTAGATAAATTTGTGTGGCCGCTAGGGGGGGGGGGGTACACGATTTCAAAAAAACCGATATTAATAGGGTTCCGAACCGAGTACGGAACCCTAAAAACGAACATTTTTTTGGCCAACACACTACACTAGTGAATTTCCATGTATTTTTTCCCGCTTTAATACCGAATTCGAAGACAGACATGTCAAATTGGCTCAAACTTTTTAGATGAATTCAAAAAACTGCTCAAAAAATTAGTTAAAATCAAGAAAACGAAAATTTTTTTGGCCAACACTCTACACTAGTGTATTTCCATGTATTTTTTCCTGCTGAATCCGAATTCAAAGCTACAAATGTTAAATTGGCTCAAACTTTTGAGATAAACTCAAAAAACTTTTAAAAAAATTAGTTAAAATCAAGAAAACGAAAATTTTTTTGGCCAACACACTACACTAGTGTATTTCCATGAATTTTTTCTCGCTGAATCCGAATTTGAAGCCAGAAATGTCAAATTGGCTTAAACTTTTGAGATAAACTCAAAAAACTGCTCAAAAAATTAGTTAAAATCAAAACAACGAATATTTTATTAGCCAACACACTACACTAGTGTATTTCCATGTATTTTTTCCCGCTGAATCCGAATTCGATGCCAGAAATGTCAAATCGGCTTAAACTTTTGAGATAAACCTAAAAAAACTGTTCAAAAAAATAGTTTATATCAAAAAAACGAAAATTTTTTTGGCCAACACACTACACTAGTGAATTTCCATGTATTTTTTCCCGCTGAATCCGAATTCGAAGCCAGAAATGTCAAATTGGCTCAAACTTTTGAGATAAACTTAAAAAACTGTTCAAAAAAAGGTGATTTAAAATCAAAAAGTTTTTTGAGTTTATCTCAAAATTTTGAGCCAATTTGACATTTTTGGCTTCGAATTCAGATTCAGCGGGAAAAAATACATGAAAATACACTAGTGTAGTATGTTGGCAAAAAAAATTTCGTTTTTTTGATTTTAACTAATATTTTGAGCAGTTTTTTGAGTTTACCTCAAAAGTTTGATCCAATTTGACATTTCTGGCTTCGAATTCGGTTTCAGTGGCAAAAAATACATGGGAATATACTACTGTAGTGTTTCGGCCACACCACTTTTTTTGTGTGCAGAATTATAAAAATTCCAGGTTCCCAAGCTTGCGCGGCAAGCTTCCAACAATATTGCCTCAAGTAACAAAATGCCCCACTTTAGCAAGCTTGCCATGAAAGGTGGCTGCAAGCTATCCAAAAAAAGGTTGCTGCAATTTTGCAATGATAGATTGTTGTAACCTTGCAGTGAAAGCTTAATGTAAGCTTGCAATATTAGGTTCATATGTGCTTAACACAAGCTTACAGTATGCTCGCTGTAATCTTACAAAAGTCTTGTGCTCAAAATCACAAAAGGAAAAAATTCAAATTTTTTATTTATTAATTTTTTTTTGCATTATATTATTTTATGTTTACTTAATATTATACGAAAAAATCTTGGGTGGTATGCATAAGAGAGAGAAAATTTTATTCTCTTATACGTTTCCGTGGTAGTAGATCGGTTAGCGTTCTCGACTTGCGTGCGTAAAATCAGGTTTCGAATCCCAATACCACCCAAGATTTTTTCGTCTAATATTAAGGTAACATATAGAAAAATAGAATGCAAAGGAAAAATTAATAAGTAAAAAATTTAAATTTTTTCCTTCTGTGATTTTAAGCACAAGTCCTTTGTAAGATTCCAGCAAGCATATTGTAAGCTTGTGATAACCACATATTATCCTTTCATTGCAAGCTTACATTAGTCTTTCACTGCAAGGTTGCAACAATCTTTTATTGCAAGATTGCGGCAACATTTTTTTGAATGCTTGCAGCAACCTTTCATTGGAAGATTGCGGCAACATTTTTTGACAGCTTGCAGCAACCTTTTATTGCAAGCTTGCTAATGTGGGACATTTTGTTACTTGAGGCAATCTTGCTGAAAGCTTGCCGCGCAAGCTTGGGAACCTGGCATTTTTATAATGCTGCA